GTCGTGAAAAATGTGGAAAAGGAGGAACATAAAAGAGTAAAAACGGATTAAGGTGCAGGACAACAACTGTATTCAAAGTGGCCATCATGTTTTCCACAATTAGATCAGAATTAGAAACAATCCCCTTGAAACAAATTGCCTGTGGAATTAACCATGTGTTGCAAAATTGCCCCTAAAGTTCTGAGATACACATACAGAAAATATAAAACAGATAAAGATCAATTGAAACAGTGAAGTGTGCTTAGTGAAGTACTTATACTTATATGATTCTGTTTTCTTCAAGTTTGTATCTTGTTGGTCGAACGCACTTATTGTAAGTCGCTTTGGATAAAAGCGTCAGCTAAATGCAATGTAATGTAAATGTAATTTGTGTTAAGCAGAGTGTAACGGCAAATTCTGATATAACGTAAAGGGCCTCTTTTATGCTCCTTTTTAGGTTCATATTGGTCCAAGCTTTAATGTTCAAAAAGCTCTTTATTTCTTTCATACTGCCTGTGCTGCAGCACCTCTTTTCACCCTCCGTCTGAAACCAGAGCCCAGTCTGCTCTGATTGGTTAGCTGGCCAGCTCCGTTGTGGTTGGTCAGATTAGAGATGTCCCGCCCCTTAGCCTATCACGTACAATGTGTTGGAGCGCTAGCCAATTGAAGTCTGAGTGTTACAGAGTGATGTCACTATCGGCGCGTTCACACCGCAGTACTTTTCCCACAAAGGTTCATCTGAACTTAGTTCATGAGAACTCTTTAGTTCTCATGAACTAAGTACAGATCGAGTTCACACCGGAATAAGTTACTGGGGGAGGATTAGGCAAATGAAGCCGCTGACGTCACTTCTTCTTCTTCTGCTTTGGGTTTACTGGCAGGCCGCAAACCACTTCACGGCGTATACTGCCGCCCAAAGTCCCCGGCCGGAAGTCCCCGGAGTTAGGGACTGGCTTCAGTAGAAGCTGCTGGGACTCCCAGCAGCTTCTACTGAAGCCTTCCGAGTAAACGGCCAGAACGCCGACACCTCCTCATCTCCACCGCTCCCATGTTTTATTTTGTGTTGCCATAAGTTAGTCTCTCTGCGTTTCTTCGCTGGGCTAATGCTAATGCTAATAATGCTAATGCGAGGATAATAAAATGGCGGCTTCACAAAACTTTTCTGGAGTTTTACGGGGCGTGGTTTGCAATCCGCCCAGCCAATCAGAAATAGGAACCTTTTTCTCCCACGAAGGTACCTGCTCCCTAGCAGGGACGGAAAAGGGGGTAAAAAGGTTCTCATGAACACTCTTTTTGGTGTGAACTATATCGGAACTAAAGTGGGAAATGTACTGCGGTGTGAAAGCGCCTTATGTTACAGAAGTAAACAAAGGAGTCCAATGGAGGCGTTTCAGGCAGGGGGGGAGTGTGTGGGAGACAAACTTTGGGATGTTAGCCTTTGCAGATCATTTACATGCACCTATAACACACTACAGGAGAGGAAAAAAACCCAAAAGCATAATAGGGCCTCTTTAATCTGCATCATACTGAGAAGGTTCTCGGCTTAAACATAATTAAACGGCAATCAAAATATACTTAATTCAACACAGCATGTTGTCAAACTCTGAAATCCTTTGTTGGGCTCAACTTCTGCAGTTATAATGCGTTGGCCCAGATTCGGACCGCGGGCCTCGCTTTAGGCAGCTGGGGAGAGCGCAGGAGCTGATGAAGAGTACAAATTAATTAAATAAGGATGGAAACATTGGAAAACAAGAGGGCGAGAGAGGAAGAATGAGCAGATGGAGAGCATGTGAAATGGAGAGGAAGGCACACAATACTGTCGCAGAGGAGCCGGCTGTCAGGTGCTGGCAACATGTGTGGAAACACTCCAATGGACAGAAACAGCAGTTGTTGTGGGAAGGGAGAGTGTGTTTAATTCATAGTTTCTTAGTCCTCACAGATTCTCCTGCCCCTGTCCAGAGATTGAAACCAATGTTCTCTCAAATGATGCTGCTGTAGCTCAAGCTGCAGTTTATCACACCAACTGGAGAGACAAAGTGTCCACAAATCAATAAATGGTACAACAACAGAAAAGGAACTGCTGTCGTCAAATGTCTTGGCGTCATCGTGGCGAACAAGGAGCCGGTGAAAAGCATGAGAGGCACTTAACTGTGGAGACGCGAACGCACAAAGAGGCTTATTCCCGTTTTAATGAGGGAGGAATGTATGTAAATGATTTATGCAAATGTATTGCACAATGCCCGGCGCACATACAGTGGCACAAGCCTCGCGTGTGAATACAGGAACACAGACCAAAATACACTCTAATCCTCAGCACCCTCTTCTGCTCAATTCAAATGAAAGCAAAGCAGTTTATTCACTGCGGGGACACTTTATTGCTTTATAAAGAAAACATGTGCCTCCTTAATCTCTGTTGTTTGAACAATTAGTGATTCATTTAATTGTCCGTCCCTCTATTCCCTCTCCACAAGTCTGCAGGACTTCCTGTCTGAAGGGTCTCACTGAAGTGCTTCTCAGTTTGAGTCGTTTCAGATTACCTCAGAGCTTTATATACTCTCTGGTTGAATGTTTAAAGTTTGTTTCTCACCATCTCACTCATGGGTTTAGTTGGATATGTTACTAAGGCCGGGGCTTCTCCATCGCTGCAGCAAAATAAGAAGTCAAAACACTCGAGGTAATACAAATTTAGATTTTAGTTGCAAATAAAGTAACACTTAATACTGTATCACCGAATTAGGTAAAACAATGGCGATTGAGCTGTTAAAAACTCCGGATTTGGTGCTTTGTAAATTCATAGGACGATAATACTTTAGGTCCTTTACCTAGTCCAGAAGAATGGATTTGTTGGTCCTGACAGTGGAAATAGCTCTTATCATCTATTATCAATAAACCAATTATTTTCATTTAATGCAATTACTTAATTTTGTAGGTTCAGGTTTAATCTAGGCTGCTTTGCCATGCAATAATGTACGATATCCAGCTAGCCTTTTGAGATAAACAACACTTAAAACGGTTATAGGTTGTTTTTCGATGGTACGATGAGAAAAACAGAATTGTATTTAAATCTTGGGAGCAGCTTGGAGAATTTCCTTGAATGATTAGCGGTAGCTCCGTCTCCTTCCTCGACAGCTGCTGTTGAAGAGCCCTGGAGGAACACAATGGACCCTCATACGAAGTGTTCAATAAGCAATTACCGGACTGTGATAGCACTGGACAGTTTGTTGAGACGTGTGAAAGTGAGAGTACTCCTCAAGGTGTTTCCTGGAAATACGAAAACAAACGTCACCAGTCATCTTGGCTGGAAAACATGATTAGGAAATTAATCGACAGCAATGGATACAGAGGGAAACAATTGGCTTCAGCTAACGAATACAGTAAATTAAGCCAACACTCTACAGTCGATTGTTGTTTAACGTGTACATTTGAATAATGTCCAAAAACTCGACATGCAACGCTCTATTTTCCTGAAACTGCATCACAAAACTCAAGCAGTCCAGTGGAACGAATATACGGTACCCCAAATATTTGTTGTATGTCTACTTGGAATTCCTGACCACAGTGAACACTCGAGCGTTCATTAACACCGAGGCCTCATTCATAGACGTTCGTTACAACAAATTACAATCAACTGGTCCTGCTTCTTCTGACCAGACTATTGAAATAACCTTAATATGTTGTAGTATTTTTCATAAGATCAGACAAACAGATTGAATTAATCATGAAGCTGATAGCATATCATTGTAAGTTATGAGGAAGGCAGTTGTTTAAGATATTAAAAGAGATACCAAGTCTAAGATAAGGGCTAATTCAGAGCAAAAAATGACAAGGAATGACATAAATATACCACAAAATATAAATGTTTTTTGTTTCTCTCCAGGAAAAAAGGACCAATAAAACTGGGCTAAGCAAACAAGGTTGTTGGTGTCTTTAGGGCAGAGTGTGTAGGGGGGGGGGGGGGTCAGTGGTGATGACCAAACAGCAGTTGAGTTGCACTCAGGGGGCTCACACTAATGTGACTCGACACGCTAAACCAACTCTATTTTTACTCCCAACAGATCTCTGTTTTCGCCCGACTCCTCTGATTCTCACTCTATTTGTTTCTCTCTGGTGCTGTTGTTATATTTAACTCCACGGTCAGTGCGTCGACAGTTCAAAGCTCAAAAACAAAGCAGCTGTTTGACTATGCTCAGGGTCAGAATGTTTCATATCGGTATTAATGCCACATATACACACAAAGAAGTTGATTCATAAAAACAACCCGTTCTCAATCGCAACTTATCAACTGGATGCTTGATATGAACCCCTTTTTCATGCGTTAGGTGCTTTTTAGGCGTCATTTCTCAGAGAGCATGGCAACCATTTTGTTAAGGTTACATATCCAATGCAAGTTACCTATGTCGCATTACCATTTAGGCAATAAAACAACTTTTTTTTCTCAGTCTCAACTTATCACCAATGGATTTATGGTCAGGACAACTTGCAGTTGCTTTTTTAGTGTAATATTTCAAAGTCCAGGGCAACACATAGATACCAATATGTACGTGACAAAAGTTATGTATGATACCTGGGTTAAGCTTAGGGAAAGATAATGGTTAGGGTTTGGGTTAATGTAAGGGTAAGTTAACTGTTCAAATGTTTTGAACCCATCCATCCAACCCGGCCTCCTTCACCTCTACGGAAACCTCCTTCTTTAATTATGTTTCCTACGTCAGTTCGTCCTTCACTTACAGTAGGCGTTCTTACTACGGCCGCTAGAGTCAGCCCTGTACAACCAAAAGTAACTCTAGAAAGGTATGTGGAGCGTCAGAATTTGACGCCTAGAGCCACTGAAGCCACCAAATCGAATGAGTCGGTTGCATGAACAGGTTGTATAAATAAGAACACATATAGGAGTGATGTGAAGGTTATGGTGGTGTTCACTGATTGCTTTTAAGAAAAACTGTCTTCACTTTTCATTATGATGATTTAACCTTGTCTCTGACTTTGTTTCCCTTCCCCCACTCTCTCCCTCTTTCATGCAGACACAGCCTCGAGAGACTACTACAAGAGCTACCCAATGGTGGACTACACCCACCGCCAGTCACCTCCCACATTCCAGCCAATCAACTTCCACCCCAAGGACAAGCCCTTCCTCCCGCCGCCCGACATCCACGCGCCACTGGCCATCACCATCAACGCCTCCCAGATCCCCAAGCCTAAGATCTCCAAGACCAACACCCACCCGCTCACCTCCAGCTCGGCCTTCAAAGCATGGGACCCCAGTAAGAGCCACATGCAGCACCCTGTGGCCTCGCACATCGGCCTCCAGGGGCCCCAGCACCACCCCATCCAGCAGCAGCAGCAGCACCACCCCATCCAGCAGCAGCAGCAGCACCAGCATCATCAGCAGCAGCAGCAGCATCACTCGCTGCAGCAGCACCAGCACGCGCTGCAGCAGCACCAGCACCAGTCGCTGCAGCAGCAGAACAGCCGGCGCATGGCGTACTCCAACAAGAGGCAGTTCAGCATCGAGACGCTGCCCGAGCTCTTCTCGCAGCCGCTGAGCTACAGCCACTCGCCGCACGTGCATCCCAAGCACAAGGGACTGCCCACCAACAGCAAGACAGAGGTCACTGTCTGAACATGGGGACGAATGGGTTCACGGACAGAAGAGGAAACCAAGTGGAGTTGTAAGCAACTTCAAGGAAATGCTCAGATATCTTTTATATCCACAGCCGTAATGGCGAGAAAGGGGAGAAAGCAAATATCGTGTATACTTTTTTTTACATTTTCGTCATCATTGTTGACGACAATAATAATAATGTGAGTGATATTTGTGTACTATTAAGACCACTGGATCAAAGCAGTAGCAGATAAGCTGTGAAGGTGGCGGATCAGCAGGTGCTGGCTGTGACTCTTTGAACCCGGCCGCTAAATAATTGAGTGGCCTCTCAGTGTGTTGGCGCAGCTCTCTCCCCGTCTTCTCCCCCCTCGAAACCTCTCTGATACTGCACCACCACACCAACGCACAAATGCTCAAATCCCACACACAGACACCATTTACCCCACAAAGTAGCCCACAGACACGCTCTATCTACTTTCTTTTGGGAGACTGTCAGAGAGGCTGGTTAGGGGGAGTGTTTCCCCGAAGACTTTGGCTCCCCATCAGCAGAAACAATGCCATTGTGTTGTCAGCTCCCATTGCCCTCCAGCACCTCCAGAGAGTGAGATATCAGCCTAGCAATTCATACCAGCGAGGGGGGGTGGAGCAGGGTTGGTTATTCATCTCATTCCAGGGGCAAATGAGATGAGAAATATGTGAACCGCGTACACACTCATGCACTACACACTAGTCAAAAACTACAGACGGTTCCCAGCGGTGTCAGAGACCATAGGCACCCCCCACTGACACAAACAGACACACACTCCGAACGCTGATCCTCAGAAACTAGGGAGAAGTGAATAAGCGAGCTCTCTTGTTGGTATTTGTAGGGTTTTGTAGAGCTGCTCATTTCAGTCACCGTCTCTTGGTGGATGTTTACCGCTGACGAAAAAACGGGTTTTGTGTCACGACGACTAGAAAAAGAGGCCATGTATCTCGGAAAGTCTTTACGAAGTAATTGCGTTCTCTACTCCTCTCTGCATGGCTATAGATTTCACAAATTAGGATGGGTTTGTGTCAGGTAATGCTGCGTATCGGATATATAGTTGTACCAGGAAGGGGAATTATGGTGTCTGAATATAGATCATCACACTTAACTGTAATTAGCCGACAGATCCATTGGTTTCCAGAGACATGATTCCATAATCAAACACCAATAATTAACACTTCTGGATAACCTTTTCCCAGTCTGGCTGTTCCTAGACACAGCTGTTTGATGCATGTGTTTACAGCTGCAATGCTAACGTAATCTGAGAGGCTGAAACCACTTGTCAGTGCACTGCAATTTACTCCCTGGTAATTAAGTATTTTAAAATACACAAATGAATGACTGTTGGCACCCAAACAGAAAGCAATATAATTCCTGCTCTTGATGCATCAAACATAGTAAACCCATCTAGTTCCTTTGGCATGAAAATGGGTAAAATCTTTAGTTTTGGATATGTTATTTACATATTGAGTCTTCTTTGCTGGCTTGCTAGCATTAGCCACATTTAGGACTCAGCTAGTTGTGTTCAGAGTCTCTGATATTTCTGGGGTTGTGGTGTGGCTTAAACTTCCTGTTTACCACGCTTGTCATTGTTTACAGTATAATACAAATGGATTGTTGTTATAATTAGCCAGTTTACAAGCACATTCTTTAGCTAATACAATCGTCCGACAGCGCATGGTTCCATGATTGCATTTTGGCCGTTGCTTTCTGCCTCGATCGTTTGCTCTCACCACGGACTGTTTAACTGCATGCAACCAAAGCTAGCTTAAACATGATTGGTCAATACTTCCCGTACTATGAATCTAAAACCAGAACGCTTCCAATACCGAAATCAAGTTTCGTAGCATTCATATGTAAAATGTGTTTATTTTAGGATGTTTGAACTCTGTAGCTTCATTGTGTGAACTCTTGGAGAGCCGCATGCAGTCACCATGGCTAACGCTAAGCTAGCTGTTTTTGGCCAGTAAATACCTCCAAATCATTCGTTGGCTAATTGTTGAGCCAAAATCCCTTGTTTTAATTCTACCTGCTAAATACAGACATTGTGAGGTGTGAGGGTGGAGACATTCAACACAGTCTCATGGCATTTCGTGTTATAGTCACGAAATTAATCTATTGATTCGTGTTCATCAACACGATTTCGCAATTTTTGCCAACAGAACACAGAACCATTTCAAAAGCAATGTACCGTAATTTTCGGACTATAAGGCGCACCTGAATATAAGCTGCAGCAGCTAAATTGAATGATGTGTACATATATAAGCCGCACTGGACTATAAACCGCAGGTGTTTTAATGTTTAATTACCATATGTAAGGGTTCGTGCACAGAGGGGATTGTCGGGAAAGAGATGGCTGTTTGAGGAAGCTCCCATTTATTAACATTTCAACAAACAAGTTGCATATTTGCATAACTTATTCAAGTGTTACCATTTAGTGCAATAGTAGCTACAGAACATGTGCTGTGTAAACTGTACTGTATCACATAGCGTTTCAGACACACAAACTTTTCAACTTTCAAACTTAAACGGTGCGCTCCCAGCGCACGTACCGGCAGTGATCTACAGCAGTGGTTTTCAACCAGTGGTACGGGGACCACCAGTGCACTTCCTTTGCACAAACTGTCTCGCTCTCGTAATGTCTGTCTGTCTTGCTCTCGTTCTGTCTCTCGTACCACTCTCGGTTCCACTTTTACTTTTGCGCGCTACCTGTCTCACTCTTTTCCGGCCTCCAGCTTTTCCTGCTTAAAGGTGGGGGGCGCGGACCGGCCATAGAGCCCATAGAGTTAAAGGTGGTGGACTGTAACCTGTAAAATCCATAGATTTAGGAGGTCCCCTAGTGGCCGTTAGCTGTAAAAATCCATAGATTAGCCGCACCGTTATATAAGCCGCAGGGTCGAAAAATGGGGGGAAAAGGCGCGGCTTATAGTCCGAAAATTACGGTAAATAATAACAAATTAGAAGGAAAAACAGATTTAAAAAAATACAGATTTCAGTATTCTGAGGCTCTGAGCCCCATTTATTTTCCTCGCGGACGGCAAAAGAACTCTGACATTATACCATTTAAAATAAAAGGGATAGGGTTAGGCTTAGGGTAAGATATTTTAGGCTTAGAGTAAGATATTTTAAGAAAATGGTTTATGAACCACACAGCTTCCGGTCTTCCAAGACCCGACCGGACAAAAAGACGTGGTGCAGGCACGAAACATACTACCAATAGAAATACATTGCTTTTAAATCGTTCTGTGTGACACGAAACAAATGGGAAAATCGTGTTGGTGAACACGAATCAATAGATGAAATTAATTTTGTGACTATAACACGAAATGCCGTGAGACTGGGTTGAGACTTTGGAGTTATTTAAAGAAAAACTATGGTATATTTCAACCTGGCGTATTTCCATGCAGATCAGTGGAAGCAGTTTCCTGTGGTTCTTCATTTCGGACCGCCAAGCTGCTTTCCTGCAATCCATCCAAATTGTAATTAGAGTGATTTAGTAAAGGTAATTAAGGTTTAAATTGTCATCATTTTAGATTCACTCGTATTAAACAACATCTAAAGTAAAATAAGCATTAGCATGAGGACATTTCCTAAAATGTACAATGGGTTTTATTTCATAAACAAAAAAGAATACATTAATAAAACCGCGTATAATCTTACATGGTCCAAGTCGACCACATTTCAGCCAACCTCCCTTTTGATGATGGTTTAATCTGTATATACAATTTGAAATGATTATTCGTTATTTATTCCCTTTGTCCTTACTGCTTCAAGCATCAGTACTGTAACACCCTGAATAGATGTGCAACAAAATAAAAAATGTACGACCCATAGTGTCACAAAAGCCACATTTAGTGGGAATATGCCAGGTGGAATAACGTTTCTTTAAAGGCACATTTTACGGAGCTGGGTTAAATAATCAATGTAAAATAATGTAGCCAAGTACTTTTGGTGACCAGTCATTTGAATAGCAATAATTTAAAAATAAGTTATATATAAAATGTCTTAAGTTACATGTTGTCCAATGCTGGTAATTGATGAATTCACTTGCTTTCAAAAGGCATCCACACCACATATTCTCACCTCCTCTTCCTCTTCCTCCTTCTTCTTCTTCTCGGTACAGAGCAGTTTAACCGGCAGTGTTACTCACTGATTGAATTCACCTTCATTTGTTATCGTGAGGACACCAGCCATGCCGCAGTGCATATGCCTGGCACATGCTATAGCACATCAGACAGGTGGTGGAACCTAATCAAACGGCAGCGCTTACCAGAAGTCACACACTATTTAGCACTTTCTCTCGCTCCCTCTCCTTTTTTCTCGCTTTCTCTCTCTCTTTTTGTCTGCTTCCTGGCACGCTGTCATCTCCCCGACCTCCCTCTGTGCATCCATGTCCATGGAAGCTTGAGCGATGGCTACCAAGCACTTTCCTGGCGTTTGGTACCCAGCGACACAAGCTGTTGTAAACCATGGTATTCCAACTTTGTGTGCGTGTGTGTGTGTGTGTGTGTGTGTGTGTGTGTGTGTGTGGTGTGTGTGTGTGTGTGTGTGTGTGTGTGTGTGTGTGTGTGTGTGTGTGTGTGTGTGTGTGTGTGTGTGTATTGGGGGAGAACTGTAGTCAGCTACTGCATGGCTGACTCCAGATTCACTCCCTAATACACCCTCATGCTCACACACTCCAGCACTTGAAAGGAAACGGGCTTACGCAAACACAGGGCGGGATGGATGACCAGATGCTTTGAAATACATTATTCACATCCGGAGATTTGTTGGTACCAACTTGCTACCTTTTGAAAAACTGCACCAAAGTGGATTTATGTAAAAAAACATTTTATTTATGAATTGATATTTTTCACCCAACCAGAAACGCCAGTCAGCCAAACTCCCCAATTTGCATCCCAATTTGATGGAGCTGTGAATGTACGAAAGCAGATAAAACGAGCAACCGAATCAAACTTTAATGAGAGGGAATGAATTAGCAATATAATGTTTGTAATGCTGCCACGGCTTCTCCACTTCACCTCTCAAAGATGTGAAAAACCTGTAAAGCAAGTCTGCTGGAGTGCTGCTGGCATGCTTTTGTAATAAGAGATCAGCAGAGAACGGGGATCATGAATACAAAAGCATGAATGGGATATGCATGGTGTGAATATGCATCAAACACATCTGCGCTTATGCTCTCGCCCAGCGTGTTTCATCTGTGGCTTACTGTCTCTTTGACTTGTATTCCCAAGAGGTGCCATGCTATTTAAGTGGGTCACTTCATATATATAAAAAAGTTTTCTGGCCCTCTAAAAAGCCCTACCAAAATATTCTGTGGGGTCTGTCCTTAATCACTCTGAATGCATTAGAGGTTGAGAACAAACAAGGAATGACAGCAAGTAAACAAGCAATATGCATCAGTAAAGCAATAAGCGCCCGACCATCCTCACCCTATCCTTATTTCTCCGTCTGTCTGGAGCCTTCCTCCGAGTTTGGGTGCTAATGAGGGTCCGGGTGTTCAAACCCAAAGGAGAGATGACCAAAATGTTGAGCTTGGGAGCAGATGAAGGGAATAAGACAGAAACAAGATATATGGGGTTGCATAAAAGCTGCTGTTATGGCGATGTTTGTTTCTCATTGGGTTAGTCTGGACCTCCTAAAAACAATAATTCTGGGTTTTATCCCCTCTGGTGTAACCAAACAAAACGTTTTATAAGCATGGTGTAACTGCAGCTGAAAGGGGAATTGGTCTTTACTTTCAAATGCACAATTTCATCATCAAATCTATTGTTGTGGTTGGGTCTTGGAGGACTGAACTCCTGACAGAACTGGAGGTTGAACACAATGGCAACTTCAGGATTTACAATTACAGGAGTCTAAAGTACAGAGCCCCAGGAAAGGCTACCAGCAAACTTTTGACAACTTCCTTCAAGTTTCATTGCCTGACATGTCTCACAACGATTGGCCAACAAGAGTTTAAACGAGCACCGAGAACTGCGGACGTCGATATATCCTCTCGCGCTTTGGGGGTTGTGCATCCAAGGTGCCACAATCACAAGACTCAATCGTGCTGATGTGCTGGAAAACACCTTTTAGTGTTAATTTCCCTGTGGTCAGGCATCCTGGATCTTTTTTCTGCTTCAATGCTGGATGGACATGGTTGGACTGCATGGAAAAGAGTTGAATAAATTAGACTGAAAAAGCCTCTGATGAGCCACAGTTTTGCCTCTGTTGTGGACAATGTACATACTTGAACACACGCACATACACACGAAACACACATTATATATCTTCCATACAATGTCCACAACTTTGTGGTACGAAACAGGACCAAAAGCCTTGAATCAGGAGAAACTGAGTACACCTAACTGATGCTTAACCATCCAAAACAGTGAGAATGCTGACACTGTCTTGGGTCGTCAGCTTAGAGTGCTCTTCCTCAATCTCTCCTGATTACCAGACAGACTATGGCGTCACTCGCTCATCTCAGAGCTAACTGTTGTTTGTAAAACGTCCTCGCTATAAAAAGAAACAATGCAAGTATTCTACCGCAGGTTATCTGAATGCAACCTGGTAGACATACTTGGGCTCCATGATCCCTAGCGATATATAGATTACGGTGTATGGTTCAAATTGTGTCTTTGTTTTCTGTCGGTTTGTTCTTTTTGTACTGTGTTTTTTCAAGGATTAAACTCCTGTCAAAATAAAAAAAATAGTTAATTTGACCAATGGGAGTGCTTCCAAATGTTATACTCATGGCTGCCCCCCCCCCTCCCCGCTCCCACCCTCCTTCCTTTACCCCCCGAGGATGTCATATGTTTGAAGCTTGTGATCTTTTTTAGTTACATTGTAAGCTATACATTCACTCATGTATTTAATGTTAAAAGATATTGCATTGTATCCAAGTGCTTTGCCAACACATTAGCTGAAAGTCGAGAAAGGAAGATTTCTTGTACAGCTTTTGCATCTGCAAAAAAAAACGAAAAAGAAAAAAAATCATGCGTTGTTTCATGATAATTTGTAATAGGCAGCGATAGGCTGTCTTGGATTGCTATGTACTACTTGTGTATATATGTATGCTGTACCACTTGTCTGCTGTGAAATTTGTTGACTACTCAGCTTATATAAGGGCTTTTTATAGATATAAAAGCAGACGGGGCAATCTGACGTCACTCTGTAACTCAAGACAAGTTTCCCTAGAGTTTCTTTTTTTTTTTTTTAGGGATGGAGGGTTATGGACAGATTTTTCATGCATAAAAATGCTATATACTGACTGTCTAACAGTGGAAATGTCTATAGGCACTCATACGACGTTGGCCCATGTGTCCTGTTTGAATAAATCTTTCGAGAAATATAGCATTCATTTGTCAATCTTACCTGTGTGTACTGGCTCTTTCTGTTCATGTATTTTAAGAAGTCCCACGATGAAGAACTTGTTTTCGACATTCAAAGTGGTGGTGACCTTCAAAGATCACCACTTTTTGGTAAGACTAGTGTTTCTATTACATTTCCAAATTAACTTTAAATAAACTTTACCATCAACTTTACCATCAACTGGTTTGGAGTCAACTGGCCACGCAAAGCACATTTAAAAAATGATGGTTGCTAACTAGTGGCTAAATGAGACTTCTAGACGTCATCATGCCAAACATTAGCCGCCTTTAGCTTAGCGGTATGAGAGTCATGTGACTGTGATGTAGTTCCTTTATAGCCTAATGTTAGCTAGTTCTGGCTATTGCATTTACACTAAGTGGTGTTTATATGTGGAGATTATCTTAGTGTACAAAACATTTAAAGGTCCCTTATTATACTGTTTTTCATCAATATATTACAACCCAGTCTCACGCCATTTTGTGTTATAGTCACGAAATTAATTTAATCTATTGATTCGTGTTCACCAACACGATTTTCGCATTTGTTTCATGTCACACAGAACGATTTTAAAAGCAATGTATTTCTATTGGTAGTATGTTTCGTGCCTGCACCACGTCTTTTTGTCCGGTCGGGTCTTGGAAGACCGGAAGCTGTGGGGTTCATAAACACATTTTCTTACTCAATATCTTACCCTAAGCCAACCATCCCTTTTATTTTAAATTGTATAATGTCTGAGTTTTTTTGCCGTCCGCGAGGAAAAGAAATGGGGCTCAGAGCCTCAGAATACTGAAATCTGTATTTTTTAATATATACATTTAATATATACACAAAACATGTCTCTGAAGTGTCCAAACACCAAACAGATCATTGTAGCATTACCCATAATCCCCTCTGTTTCAGCCCTGTTTCAAAAGTGCTCTGTCTGTTACTTTAGATGAAAATAAGGAGCCCCTCCCCACGCCCCTCTGAGAGAGATTTGGTTACAAAGAACACAATGGTGCTCTAGGAGGAGATTCAGGTGATAAGGTGGGGGGGCGGGGGGTACCTTTGGTTGGTGATTGGCTAATGGTTACACAAGCCAACACAACGTTATGACATCACAAAGTGGTCAAAATCTGATCAGCTCATTTTCAGACAGGTTTTTATATAAATGGATCAGGACAAAAAGAGAGAGATTCTTTTTCCTGAAACTTTCAGAATCTCTTTCCACATGTTTGTGTATAAAAGACATAAAAAAGTGGATTTTGCATAATAGGTGACCTTTAAGTATCATAGAGGTGTATTTGCCAAATATGTTATTTTCTGCGATATTTTGAAATCCAATGGAAAAATCCCATTGCTTTCTGTTGAGGGAAACCTTGCTCTGCCGGGTAGGCCTATACATCTTAAGGCCTTTAAACACCGCCCCCTGCTGGTGTGGAGAGTTATTTCCTCTCACAGGTGCAGCATGTAGTGCTAATTGGCTGTTAGCTGTAGTCTTTGTGGCTTCTTCCAGTGCTTCTTTTTGGCCAAGACGCAGTCAACATAAGACAACACAACATGGGCCTCTGTTGTCGTAGTTCTTTAAAGTCGGTTTGGTGTGTCTTGGTTTGAAGACTTACTGTTTTCAGATCTTTGCATCCAGGAAGTCTTCCATGCAACAATATGAACTGTAGCTCTGAAGAGACCACCTTGCAGATATTTCAGTATAAGGCTTCATATGACATTAATCATGTTCATGCTTGTTGGGGCCTGTCAAAAGGCATCCAGGGGAGTAGAGAAAAGAAAGGAACAGAAAATGTATGAAACCACAGCAGGGTAAGTTAAGCCACTTCATCACAAGTTAACACACTGACTGTAATAGACTCATGATACAAACAGGTTTATCCACAGATGACAGCGTTTCCCCTCAAATCTTCCTAATTAAACAGTTGTGACAGCATGGGAACTCGCCCCCGACAAACTGCAGCCCAAAAGATCTGCTTCAAGCTTTCATTTGACCCAGTTTGGGAGTTTCCACGCGTGACCCTCAAAAATGCTTTCAGGTTTAACAGTGACACGTCAAAAACAGAAAAGCACAATGACAAAATGGACCAAGGGGTTCCTCATCCTCTGCAATCACCTGTTTCAGCTGGATCACAGGATCCTTTCTATAGTCCTCTTCTCTTTCCTCCTCATATGTCAAACAAAGGATTTCCAAAGAGGCATGTTGCCACTTAATTTGTTCTGACATCATCTTGGATTTGACTGGATGTTTTTTCTCCGGGTTATAAGCAGCGCGTTTTTTAGAGCCCTTAAGTGTGTGATGTCATCCGACAGCACATATAAAATAAATCCCCTATTTCCCGCAATCCCTTTTTGCACACATTAATAAAAGCAGGCTCGATCTTAATGCATTTACCAGTTTTAGTTGTATCATCTATCAAGACTGCACACCATATTAATTGACCGACTGCAACTAATTAATCTAACCCAGTGCAACAACATTCTCCCAAATGGATCGATAGACTAATCTAGTTATGAATGTCTCCAGAGAGATCTGACTCCATTTATTTTCAACCTGCAGCGTACATTAAACACTTTCAAAATGACCTAGTTAATCGGTTTTGACAGCGATAGTATAATTGCCCATTTATCCTGCAATGAAGACTGTAAATTAGACCTTTCATTGTTTTTGACAAAGAGGAAAGAGAGAAAATCAGACACTATTGTGTTGTCAATTATCGCACAGGCAAACATTTGAATAATGCCGTCCTTGATGCACATGGCTGAGAGAAATAGAGCACAAATAAGCATATCTAATGTGCAAAGAGTAATGTGTGAAAGACAGGAGTAACAGATGTTCACACACGGACACACACTGCAGCAGAACTATGTGGGAAATAGTGTAATGTTTATTCTACAAACAATACGCAACAACTCCTCCGAGCACAAGCAACCCAGCTGAGAGGATGTGTGTCACTGGAGGCAATTGTATCCTTAGCCTTGAAGAGACACTGAACTGAAAGGCCCTTTTTTATTTATTTTTATTTTTACATAATGACACTGCTTTCACTCCCAGAGGCTTGGAAGACAAATTCACAGAGCGGCTGAATATTTTAATTCAAAGGGCTTTGAAAATCTCAGAGACGCAAGTAAAGAATGAATCTCTAATTTAGCCTCTGAACAAACACTAAACTTGGGAAACCCGTGTTTGTGTTTGTGTTTTTGTGTGTGTGTGTGTGTGTGTGTGTGTGTGTGTGTGTGTGTGTGTGTGTGTGTGTGTGTGTGTGTGTGTGTGTGTGTGTGTGTGTGTGTGTGTGTGTGTGTGTGTGTGGAGCAGGCAGGGCAGTGGGCTTCATCTCCAGCTGTCATAAATGTCACAGTTCATTTGTGTGTGTCTCAGGGGTTTGGACCAAATCCATCACTGAGAGCAAAACGCCATGTGCCACAAACCATGTCCACAATAACACACACTCTCTCTCTCTCTCTCTCTTTCTCAGTACCAGTGTGTAAATGTTGTTATTCAGGTCAGAAGACATTGGAATATTGCATTAACCATGACTTATTCAAGCGTCTCTCCAATACTAATGCAGGAACTCTGTATTCCAGTGGCAAAAGGAAACCTTTCAGAAGCAGTTTGTATTATTATCTAGGAATGTATTAAACAAATCACTGAGACTCAGCATGCAATCAATACGCTTTTTTTCTCTGCAGATATTTTAAATGATCATTTTAGAAATAAGCACAGGTGTTACTGACAAACTGTCTTCTGTAACATGTCAAAAAATAGTTGATGTGGTAAATATTAACGACGTGTTATAATAAGGAATAGATTGATTTCCATCATTCTTTGTATTTGGCCACCAGTGCCTTATTGTAGAGACCGAGCTAAAAGTGGATCCTTGATTTGAATCCTTGATTCAGTGGCTTTGTAGATGGCTTTTAAAATATTTACACACAGTATTGGTTCTTTTAAAGCTGCACTTATTTTATATTAACTATTCATCAAATGACTCTATAATGTGGACAGGGTCCATTAGTTCATCGGAGCTCCTTAGCGTCTTAATAAGATGTTTCGGTTTTCTTTCCACCAGCAACAGGACGCTGTTTCCAGCACAGAAGCTGTGATAAGTCCACTTTTGTCTCCAACAAAACAGCAGACAAACCAGTTAGCAACAAGCTGGTAAAAATGGGGGACTGTTCTTACATCGTTATTCCAAAGCGCTAATTGTCTTTTATATAATATCTTTGGAAACATGACCTACTCTCCTCTATCTTGTTTCTTTTATTGGTCGGATTGGTTAGGTCTAAGCATGATAAAAGAAATGGGGTTTGATAGGGTAAGAATATGAGGGTAAACCAATGGGGAGTAGGGAGGGTCATGCCTATTTAGCGATATAAATATGACAACGGGGGAATGTCAAATTACATCTGTCTGCATAAAAATCCGTTTTTTGACATGAGAGTATGCATTTCCTGATCAATGAGGCTTCAGAACAATGGGCCTTTGTACTTGGGATAACGAGCTGTCAGACAAATGGGCTGGCGGTCCAACGGGAATTTTTTTGGACTATTGGGGTTTTAACAATAATGGGCCCATCGGGGACAATGGCATAGCACCAAAGCATTAAGCAGCTAATGAGCCATTTCCTTTTTTTCAGGGGTTGGCAAACACAGAGCCTAAAGGAGAGTGAATATTGTTGTTAATTGCATCAGGTTGCCTTAAACCGGACTCCAATGAATGCTAATGTTGCCTGCTGGATGTGTAAATAAGTAATTGTTAGCTAACAAGTTTGCCATATCAGCTTTTGGGGGATGAAATATTGTATTTGTGGTTAAAAATACTTAAAGCTGAATGCGCAATATGTTTTAAACTGAATATGGTTTATGTTTTTCATTCATAGGACTGATGTGCTGAAGTGTGTCTGCTTATAGGTTGTAAAGTATACCATATAAGGCTGTAAGATGTAGCATTGATAGGTAAAGTTAGAGACAAAGTCTGAAAGGCAAAGGAAGGAGTCCAGGAACAGTAAAAGCAAAC